TGATAAAGTGTGAGGGGGGGGGGGAGAGGGGGAATATGAGAGTAGAACAGCTGCCAACTTCTTGACATAAAAACACCACAAAGCAAACAGAGCATCAATTATCTGATGGCACAGTTAGCCATGTTTGCTAGGGCAAGAAGCACTATTAGTATTACCTACATAGGCTTATTAGGAAAAGGACCTTTTCCTACAATTTTGCTAAGCTCCAAAAAAGTACCTATTCATACGATTCACTGCTTTTATATCTTTTCACACAAATTATGATTACAGGGACACTTTTTTGATTAACTAAGACTTATGCTGCATTCCCGCCATATCGTAATTAGCTACTGTAATTTCGAAATGACAACATGTAGCATTGTACTTGGAGCTGTTCACATCCTTGGACTCAGACACAGAACTATCGCACTAACAATGCCTAAACATAGCGCCTAATGAATCTGAGGTGGTCAGGTGGCACAAGTCATAGCTTTCAGAAAACTCCCAGTTCACAAGTTGCAATTACGAGTCCTACAAGGAAGTGAATGCTTTTTACAAGTTGGTTTATCGTAATTGTGGTAATTACGATATGGCGTGAACACACCTATATTTTCATGCAGCCTCTTGCACAATACAATCCCAGTGGCCTCAACTTTTACCATAGTGCATGATTGGTAAAATAATACATTTGCATCACCTCTAATCCATTCCATATGTTTGGCCTTTCTGACATAGTAAACTTGCTCTGTGGCGCACCTGGTGCAGCACTGAACTTGATGTGGAGTGCTCGCATATGTATTTTTATTTCACGTTTGCTTTTGTTAACATTAGGTTAGGTTTAGGGTAGCTTCTCACCAGACTTTTAATTTGTGCAATATTTGTTGTGATACGTAAAACAACTAGTGTAATAAAACATTGTTTTTTTTATCTTTTTCAGATAAAACTGGATGAACATTGAGCATTTCACTTAAATGAAACATGCAAAGCTACGTAATAATTTACAGAAATGTCACCACAAGCATATTTTACCAGAGTCTGGCGTTCGGCTGGAACTTTATTCGAGTGACTATGCATTCGGCTGGGATGAGTATTACTCATACTTAAAGTCTGAAGTTACACCCCTTTTCAACTTGGTTAGAAAGTAACTACCGAGCAAACACCCAGAAAACCTCAGCAACCAGAAAATCCTAGCATTATGTTTGCTACATTGCTCTAGAAAACACCTCTTACATATTCTTCAGAAAATGTATAAATCAATTCTGAATACTTATTTTTATAGTTTAAATGCTCAATCTGGATAAACAAAACAAATTCGGCTCTGTGGTTTTAATCCCACATTAAGTGTAAATACAGTGTCTTTGTGGCGCTATCAAAACATTGCTCTGTTTGTTTGCACTTCACATTTAGCCCGACAACAGAAACGTTGGCTCAACCAATGAAATGTGCTTAAGGCGGGGCTAACTGCTTGACTGACCAATGGCAGATGGGGGGAGTGTTCATGAATCCTGTGTGCACACAATCCCGTTTGTAATGCCTTTTTGGTAATGTTGGTGGTGCAGAAATACTTCAACTTTTAAGTAATTTTTCAACATTTTACAGTTTCATTTACTTTGCTTTTTTGCAAATGCACCTTCCAGACGGCTGCCGGAGGCTCTGGAGAGCAGTGGGCAAACAAACTTCTCATCTTTCTGTGCTGATATACGGCCCTGTTGTGTGTATTGTGTGGGTGACACCTGAACCCCTTACAGCACAGAAAAGGGACACAGATACTGCAAACCATAGCCAAAACATGAGGCCCGACAGATGAGCCGCGCCTTACGTTATCTGCAGACCGCGTGTGGCGGACATCTGCCGATGTCATCAGCACCTTCGATAAAGAAGGAGATAAAGCATACTTTGCTTTTCAAACAAAGGGATCTGGAATCTATATATGACAAATAGGTGATTCAACACATGCAGATTTTAAAGTGGGTGTGAAATTTGAGTGGATAAACTGAAAGCATTGTTCAGTATAGCCAGATGCTCTCTGAACATTAAGAAAGAAAGTGAGACAAAAAGAATGTATCATTTTTTTCCAGTAATGACAATGAAAAAAAAAAATAAGTTTGAGGAATAACAGTGCACTTTATGTTGCAGAACAAAATGTCAGAGTCTATTCAAGTAATGAGTCTTTCATTTACTCAGAACCACCATTCTAAAAGCCCACAGGGAACACATGGTGAATTAGCCTTCTGGGTTAGCCTACAAATTAACATCATGATTCATGACTGAACAGCTCTATCTGTTTGGATACATTTGTGGTTCAGAAATTACACATTTCGCCTGAAATACTTGGAATTGTTTTTGCTCTTTAAATGTTTAATGTTTATTATCATTTTAAACTGCTCTATACTACTTGCTCTATAGGATGTAACATTGCCATCCACTTTTTTAGCAACAAGAAGTATTTTTCCCATTGACTTTCAACCAAATCAACCAGCTACAAGGTACAATAAATCACAATACTACAAACTTTGATTTGAAGTGAAAAAAGTATTCGAAAATTGGACAAAGCAAGCTAAGGTACACGACTGATTGCTGAAACCTTAAAAAAAAAAAAAAAAAAAAAAAAAAAAACATTTCCATGAAGCAGTGCAAATGACAATCGAATTAAAAAATGCTAGAAAAATATAAAGATTTAAAGATGTTGATTATAGATACAGAAACAATATATTAGAGTCAATCTCCCTTCGCTAAACTCTCAAAATACTTAAATATTTGTGTGTATATATATGCATCTTTCACATTTATAGCAAAATATTAGGGATGCACCGAATGTTCGACAACCAAAATTATTTGGCTGAAAATAGCAAAAAAAGCTCTTTCGGTATTCGGCCGAATAAGCGAAAAAAACGAATAAATTGTACCGAACAAAGACGTGACGCGATCAAATAGAGGCGTAAACAATTAAATAAACTGCAGAATGTTGTTTTCTAATACACGCAGGAATTGCACGTGTTCAAACAGCGCTGCATGAGCTCGCGGCAGCAGGCTTAAAAGTCCACTTTGGGACACTTCGGCCCAGTGTTTCATTTTGTTCGGCTTCGGCCAAGAATTTTAATTTCGGTGCATCCCTACAAAATATGCATGTATAGATATACGCAAATATCTAAGTAGATTAAGAGTGTAGAGAGAGACTGACCATGTCATTTGCAGTGAATCATGGAAGTGATCAGGCACTAAAGAGATCTTCTGGCACAACTCTCAGATTGCTGGAGATTTTATTGCAGAATTTAGAATTCTGGATTTAGGATTTAGAAATAAATTTTTAGATATAAAGAATATTATTTCTAATAAATAAAATAATTGCTGGCTGATGGCTACAACCAAACTAAACTAAATAAAATTAATTAATAATCTCATAACTCAAGCTTAAGTCATTGTTAAAAACAGTTCCTCTAAGGAGAAAATTAATGGGATTTTTAGTTCTGGAACCCGGCTGATGCTCTCTACATGCAGCTCAGGAACAAACAATATGCATGTACAATTATGTGTAATTCCAATGCAGCAACAGAGGGAGAGAGAGACTCACATGCTCTCACCCACAGTAATTTTCCATATAAGCATATGCATATTCTTGTAAACATAAAAACAAATGGAATGCTTAAAGCATAGAACATACATATTCACACCCACACAAACAGACACATCAACTGCTTCAGTGCGACGAGACGCATTCTGAGCAACACGGAGCAGGATGTACAGTAATTGGCGAGGTGGGGAGGTGCAGCCAAGCCTCAGCATCATGCCCACTGATCTCTGTCCTGTGCAAGAGTTTGCAGCAAGGAATAAAGAGCAGTTTATGCAGGTCATTGTACACCTATACATTCATACAATTTTGAAGCGTGGCCCAGTGGTTAATGCACATGCTCACTGACACTGAGCCGTGGTGCTCATGTGGGTGATGCAGGTTTGAGCCTGTTTCACAATCACCTAAAGTGCTTCCATTCATAACCATGGCCAAAAATGAAATGTAATCAAATAAAAAAATAGGCATAAAAAATTTAAATAAATAATGAATGAATGAAAATACAGTACAAATAACCATTCGTAACAGTTTAGTAAAAGCTAAAAACAAGATGAACATAAATAATATAATAAAATAAAAATATGCAAAACTTAAAGGAAAAATACCAAAAATATTAAAAAACTAGGGGTGCTCCGATCAGGATTTTTGAGGCCGATCACCGATCGCCAATCACAGAAAGCACAGAAAGCCGATACCGATCACTGATACAGATCTTTTTAAAGCCTTCTTTTTTATCATTTATAACTATTTATAGTGATTCTCCAATCAGGATTTTTAGACATTTATTCAGGGCCTGAATTTCATTTTTGAAAATGGCAGGAGTCCACTACTGATCCGTGGCTGTTTACCACAAACACAACATTTATCCATTATTTGGATTTCAAATCCAAAAATTGTCACTGAAATTGCTTTTTCAGCATTGCAATTCTTTTTTTTTTTACACAGTACAGTAATACAATCTTTCAAAGACATGTTTAAACAATAAACATAAGCAACACATTATTCAATGCTTTTTATTTTTGCAGTTACTTTAGATTTATATAT